GTTGATCGTTTGAAAAATTATAATGGTTTAAATATCAGTGCCCCAGAGCCAAAGGGCACCTAATTCACATTTTTAGAAAAATCGAGTTAGTGGCGTTTTCAAGATCTCCATTAACGATTCCGCGTGTTTGGAAAATTTGGTAGCCATGTCTTACGCCGGTTATGAGAAAATTGCGATTTACATTGGAATCAATGGTGCCGACGCCCGGTTTTCCCCTGACAACTCGAAAAAGCTACAATGAAGTTAGGTACCTTTTGGCTCCAGTATATTGATATATTCTGTCTGTAAAGACATACCTACAGCGTAGCATCATGCATACTTAAGCCTCCTCGTCATTTCCTTGAAAAACTAATCATTATTTTGAGAGTCTCCGAAACTGTGCCCAACTCGAGAGCACTTTCTTCCTTCTAGTGGCACATGTCAGTGGCGTATTCCATCTCGAGTGGCAGCTACAGAGTCTCTGTTTGGAGAAAATCAACCTGTAATTGAGGTGTTTGGAGATGAGCGTTGTCATTGTTCCGCCTGAAAAGCCACCTCCGCCCATCGCTTCTCGTTTGCTACTCTGTCGCGGTCGCACCATGGGCAATGTATAAAACGTTTGATTTACATGCTCCGGAACCATCCGCGGATAAGTACGGGAAAAAGTTCATAGCATTAATAGTATATATGATTGAGGAAAAGAAAAAAATTAATTTAAATGTGTGAGTCACCAGGAAACCGCATGTGCTCTCGACTTTTTAGTAAAAAATAATGATTAATATCAAAACCAGTACCATCAATTTTGAAGGTCTCAGAATTTGAGAGTAAGTAGATATCGAAAGGCAGGTATCTAAATATTCCTAGTTTTAGCAAATGATTCCATCATCATATAACTTCCCTGACAGGAAGAGAGTAAAATTAAAGACGGCGAGTGGTGATGGTAATCGTAAAATGCAAGGGGTTGTAATAGAGCAATCTTAATTATACTACCCCTTCTTCTCCTCTTTTCATTCTCCTCTCATTTCTTCGTTTCCTCTCCAATTCTCTCTTGTCTTACCATTTCTTGTATTACTTTTCCTTTTCTCCTACTCATTCCTCCTACTCCTCTTTTTCTATTATTTTTCTTGTTCCTTCCTTTGATGTATTTTCTATTTATCATATTTTTTTTATTCTTCTTTTTCTACTTTCCTTCTAATTCTCTCTCCATTGTCTATGTTAGTTTCCTAATACTTTTTTGCTCATTAGTCCTCGTATTTCTTATCTCCTCATCCTCCTCCCTCCCTTTTCTCTCGTATTCTCATTCTTCCTATCATTCATCCCACTCCTCACCTTCATATAATTATATTTCTTTCCCTCTCTCGTTCCTTTCCTCTTCGTTTTCTCCCTTTTTTCGTCCTCTCCTATTCCAGTTTCTTCTTCCTCCTTTTCAACTAACATTTTTAACAACAAAAACTCAACTTCTAGTCTTCTTTTGCCCAAGAATTGGAAGAGAAATATCACTTTAAAACCTTTGGACCACACCTAACTAGACTTCATTCTATAGAAGTAACCATGACAAATTGTGGGCAATTGTATCAATTACTTAAATCGGCCTTAAGCATGCTAAAATCTGATTTTTTTAAGGAAATTAAAGAATTCCAAGCAGCCCTTGTGAGCACATTTTGAATCGGGATCTGCATTGAAATTAAATTCCAGTCCTATTAATTGAAATCTATGAACCAAGAATCGCTGAGCCAGGAACAATTTTGCACAGCTGGGTATCGATTACACCCCACAGTGCGGTCGGTGGCACGGTGCGGCGCGCGGCGTGCCGATCTTCAACTCATTGACGAGTGAGATGCTGGACCTGGAATGAGGTATGATAGAATCGAGTGTGATTGTTTTCTTTCCCCCGCAAACTGTGCCAATTCCTCCTCAAGTTGCCGCGTTGAGACATCGCTGCTCATGAGGACATGTAGCCAGAAGTTGCGTTTTAGATCTAAGCAGACATTATCGGGCAAATAGAGGCTAAGGAACAGTACCGCCTACAACTGACAATTTTGGTAAAAATGAGTCAGCGACCTTGCCGCATTCTTCAATACTAGGGGCCTCTTGGCCGCTTCGTGGCCGTCAACCAGTGAAAAAAAACGACACGTGAAAAATCGTAGTTGAAAAGTTATTTCATTGATGAATGGATTCAAAAGCCGACGAGTGCACGCGGGAGAAAGCGTACTCATCTTTGGTTGCAACGTTATGCACCAATTTTTATGTCTCATTTTTTAACACCGTTTTTAAAAAGTTACTCACAGTTTTCTGAAGTTTCAGAGAAATTTCCGGAATAGTTTAAAATAAAATCACAAATAATTTCGCCGAGAAATTTTCATTCATTCTGTTTTCTTTTTAGTGACAAAAATTAATTTTATGCAATTCAAGTTTCAGAATAGCTGGATCGTTTAAACATCGTCTGAGTTTCTGACTCGTTGCAATTAAGATGCATACTTACCGTTTAATTGTGGTAAAAACCTGGCAAGGAACGTCAAAAGACGTCAACCTAGTTTTCCGGTGATTTTAGCGTCGCGCTAGCAAGGGAAGGGAGTGCGGTCGAGTGGCGAGTCATCTTCAGTTATCGCAAATACGAGTAACAACTCTCGCATTGCGTTTGGTGCAATGCGAGAAGTATTCATGCAGTCCTGTAGGCGCTAACATGCGGCTGACGTCGACCGCACTATTTGGCGCAATGCATGGAGTATTCCTGCAATCTTGCAGGCGCTGATAGGAGTCTGACGCCGTCCGTACCGTGTTTGGCTTTATTATGCCACCCTATTGTGATGATAAAATACACAGGATGGCGCTTCTTTTTCAATTGCGATCGGGAAAGCTGTAATGACGCTGTAAATTATGAAAAAGTTACAAATCAAATTTTTAAAGTGGGTGCGTTCCGTCTGCAGAATGGACATCATCGGTGACACAACTGATCACTGTGTTCAGAAATTTTCCCTCTAACTTATTTTTTTGCAAAAGAAAAAAGTGGCATATTTTTTCGTGAAATGAAATTTTGAAAATACATTGAGAGCAAGTTGTGAAAAAAAATCATCTTCCACTGATTAAGAAAACATTTGTTTTCTTGCATCAGCATAGTTAGCAAGAAGTTTGCGATGCAAATCGAAGTAAGGTCTCTCTTGATCATCTCAAGTTTTCATTTTTATAACTTGCTGAAACCTCAATTTTCATCCCATGCTTGCAGCTCAATTTGCCTATAAAACAATATTCAACCAACCCGTCACAGGTGGTCTTTTAAGAAACATATCCGTAGGCAAATTATTCAGATTCTTGCTTCTAACAACAAAATGTAAGTGCGCTGCAGGAGGGATAGAATTTTTCAGACGACCTTCAATAAAGAAAATCTATCTAAGAATTTGAGCGAGATACTAGAGAAGCATTTTCCGAACTATTTTCCACTTCCCACTCTCGAGTGTGTTAAATTTCATCATTGGTCTGTATCAGCCGTTTCATGAACTCTGACATACGTATATAATTGAACGTATTTCTGTCAAACGGAACTGTGTGCATTATGACGTGAGCCCTGTCATGCATATATTCTTATGGGTCTCAGGGCTCGTGTCTTAATGCACATAGTTCCGTTTCGCAGAAATACGTCTAATTACGATTACGAATCAAATACGATTGATATTTTTGTGCCTACGCCCACACTCCAGTTTCGGTGCTTTTATGGTCTCAGTGAGATATTTCCTCACGCGGCTCGTTAAATATCGAAAATGATTCCCACTCGATAGCTAAAGTCACGTCGTGCCATCGAAAAAAACCTGTATTGCATGTCTACCACTTCTGGTGTGTGTGCACTGAGCACCAAATTATATTTGTCAGCACTACAGCTCACGCGTCGGAAATTGTGTACATAGATTGAGCTACATCACTACCCCCTTTTCTCGTGATCAAATATGGTCCCTAAGAGGAGGGTATCGCAAAGGTCCAGTCTAGTGTTAGAAAGAAACTAAGTATTGAGCTCTTAGCCGATTCATTAGTTATGGTCAATGTCATTATCATGGCCGAAAATTTTGCTTTTGTTACCATGTAAAGGTAATTTTTAAGTAAACATGTAACTCTTTTGCACACTGTTTTATTGTCAAAAATAGCCTATGGATTTACCTAGTTTTGCCTCCACTGAATTAGCTGAAAGCTCAAAACATTCCTTCTTTCAATTACAAGTGGCCAAAAACCCAACAATTTTGTCTAGTGTTACCATCCAAGCCCAACGAGATTATTAGAGAAGAGAACTTCCTGATTGATACGATGTCCCATAAATGGAGGGTCCAATTTCCGTCCGCTATACTTTGGTCAAGTGTGCCCAATATAGGGGCATCTTTTGGCTGGAGTTGGGACCACAGTCGGCGTTTTTGCTCCTAAGATTGATTAAACCTGTTCTTCCATTAGGTAGAGGGACCCTAATCCCTCTTCTGGCGGAAAATTTGGAGACAAACCGCCTTTGCTGATATCAAATTTTTCCGACTCGAATATAAGTGAAGTGGCAACGATAGCTCTGCCGTGCTAAGGAAGAACGCCGTATGAACATTCGAGAGTTGCCAAATTTCCTTCAATAAAATGTTTCATTTGAGGAAAGATGTGCATATTTTCCCCTGAAATTTTCAGGGACTTTAAATGAAATTGCGGACAAAATTATCTAAAAAATTAGAAGGAAAATATTCCAAAGTTGACCAGGAAATTCGTGTTTAATCAAAGGAAATTTGGCAACGCCTGGTGGATCATACGACGTTCTTCCTTAGTACGGCAGAGCTCACGTTGACTCCCATCCCATTCCCATTCACGAATCCAGCCTCAGTACTAGGCGCGGGTGAACAGGGCCAATTGTGAAAGTGCCAATGGATGTTAATAACACGGCGGCGCGTCTGCCCCTCGTTTTTCGGCACCCCCCCCCCT